ATATATATATATATATATATATATATATATATATATATATATATATATATATATGAACTTTTGAATTATATTAATTATAGTTTCTTTATTTTTATAGTTTACCTATACGTATATTTGTAGTCATTTTGTTAATACTTTCATTTATGTAGTATGGGACAAAGAAGAGAGTTAAGAAGGTAATTAGGGATTATTGGGCCATGTGTAGTTCCGTATTTGGACTTTGGTAACGTTGGATAATAATTTAGGAAGAGAATTAAGGGTCAAGCCCACCCTTTTGCTGGCAGTAATAGTAATCCCAATTAGGGATGCTTTATAAGTATTAAAGGAGAATATGATAATGAGGGGAAAAGTTAAAGGGAGCTTCTGACGGTGGTATTCCAAAGGCCATTGAATCGATTACAAAGCTTTTCAACCTTGTTTTCTCGAGATTCAAGGCAAACTAAATGTCCTCCAATTCGCAGTTTTCAGACGAAGCAACAGTACGCCCAACAATCGCAAACTTTAATTGTAGTTAATTTTCATTCAAGGTATTAATCTATTTTATGGCATAATTATTATTCTTTTGAAATGGGTATTCTATATGAGATTTCTAATTGAACAACGAGCTGGAGTTGGATATTTAAAAGAAAAAAAAAAAGTCTTTCACCTGTAGATTTATGATTTGAGACGTAGAACCTCGAGATATGCTCCTATGTTTGAGATTGGGTTGAAAATGGTAGAACATTTCATAGACTTTAATTGAAGATTTGAAAGGTAATCCGATGTCGGAATTCCATAATTTTTATATGGTTGAACTCGTATCGGAACGGGTGTTCGGATTTTGTGAGTTTTTCTTGGATTCGAAATGTGGGTCCCGCTGTTGATTTTTAACATGAATTTCAGATTTTAATCCGGAATATTAGTAATTTCATATGTAATTTATTCCTACGATTCGTATTGAGTATATTGAATTGCTTGTGACTAGATTTGAAGCTTCCAGACACGAATTTGCAAGGCGGAGGTTTATTGGAAGCTTGAATTTGGTTGCGAAATGAAGGTTTATTGGAAGCTTGCCTAACTTTTTGTAGGGGAATTTCCCCTTAGGTATTGAATCTTATGTGGAAATTGTGTGATTGAAAACCATGTACGCGAGGTGATGAGTATGTACGTGGTTTATATGTGCAAATTATATTGGTTAAAATTCGTAGACGCCCGTATGTATTTAATTGAAAATGGTTGACACTTAGTAAATCCTTGATTGTCATGCTTCATTCTTTGTTTGTCGATTTTGTATTTATATGATAATTTGGTGTGATTGTCGCTTGGATATTTATGTGAATTCCATGTGTTTGTTGATTTGATATTTCCTAGAAATAATTTTATTATGGATTTTCCATCCGCAAATAATTAATTAAATAAGTCCAGAAGAGGCATTAATATAATTATCGAAAATTTGGACTAAAGAAGGTGTTGTCCTATGATAAATTATTTTTCCATCTTTGTTGTTATTTTGGCGGTTTTATATATGTTGTGTGGAGCCTTGGGCTTTTCAGTGTGAAATTAATTGACTTTGTTGTATCTTTGGAATTGGTTGTGGCCTATGGGCAGTTTGTGATATGAATTATTGTATTATGTTGTTGTGATAATATTTCGTCTAAATTATTGTGTAATTTGAGTTATTATTATGAGGACATAAGGGTGGAATTCCATTGTTGATATTACGTGGATATAACGGTAGCATTTCACTGTGGTTATGTGTGTTGGGCTATTGTTTGCGCGGAGTGATAAGGGTGGCTATAGGAGTGATAAGGGAGGCTATTGTCGAGGATGATATGTGATGATGTGAGGCTATTGTGTTGATAATTATTATATGATGATGTGGGGATACTGTGCTGGTGATTTTATGTGATGTTTGTGATTCCTTCTATATATTGTGTAACTTGTTTTGTTAATTTAGTAAATTTGATAATAATTTGATACATGTTGAGATTGTGAGTATGTGGCTGTTGTCGGGCAAATTATGATATGGGCACGAGGTGTCGGGAAAATATTATGATTTTATTAATGGCACGTGAATTGTCCGTGCAGTTGTGATATGAAATGTGGGCACGAGGTACAGTGAGTAAATGATGATAATATTGGCACGTGAGTTGCCCGTGCGGTTGTGATAGAAATATGGGCACGAGGTGTCGTGAAAATATGAAAGTGGGTTGAGACCTTTATTATTTATAATTATGAAATGAGGCGTCACAATGTGACTTTTACTTGATAGAGTTATATTCAAAAAGTATTTATTCGAAAGAATTATGTTTGAGAGATATTTATTCGAAAGAATTATATTTGAAAGATAATTATTTGAAGGAAGTATATTCGAAATATATTGTGGGAAAAGATTATATTCCAAAGATTATTATTTGAAAAACTTATAGGTGAAAGATTTATATTTGAAGGACTTGATTAATTGGTTGTACTTGTATTCATTATTTGTTGAGCAATATTTATGGTGTTCTCGTTTTCCCTGCTTCTCATATCATTGGTTGATTATTGTTGTTATCATTACTATTTGTGTCCTATTACTATGTATGCTATTTTCCACAGGTTATTAGACTAGTGAGTGTCTTGACTGTACCTTGTCACTACTCTACCGTGGTTAGTTTTGATACTTACTGGGCACCGCTGTGGTGTACTCATACTACACTTCTGTATATTTTTTTTGTACAGAGCCAGGTATTGGAGATATCGGATTCGGTCAAAGTTAGAGTGTGATCGCAAGGATCCAAGGTAGAGCTGCTTGGTCGTCGCGGTCCCTTGGAGTCTTTCCATTTTATCGTACTGTCAATTATTATTCGAGCAGTATTGTATATTTGATTTCCTTGAGATTATTTCATGTATTCAGTTAGAGTTCGTGACTCGGTACTACCAGTCTTGGGAGGTTGTACAATTATTTTCTTATGTTGGTTTCGATTATCTATTTTAGAAAAAAAAAATGGCTTGAACTGTAGTTAAGATCGGCTTACCTAGTCTTAGAGACTAAGTGCCATCACGACGCCTGTGGTGGGATTTTGGATCGTGACAATTATTGTCAAGGAATTTTTACATTCCTATACACTATATGAAATTATATTACCCTCCCTACTCAAGTTTTACTATAATTACATTTTATATACCCAATTATCATTTATGTACATTTTAAGGGAATTAATGATAATAATTAGTGTCCTAAAATAATTCTAATGTATCTTACACTCCCCCAACGCTTCTCTCTCCACATCCCATCCCCCTCCCCCACGTATCTTGTACTCACCCACGATTTCGCCATTACAACCATTAAAAAACTTTGAAGTTTTGAATTCGAGTTTGGATTTTCAAAAAATATTATTTGTTTAAATTGGGTGTTGTTACAAAAAATTGAGAATTCTCTCTACGTTTCTCTCTATCTCTCAATCCCTAATTTCGGTAATGTAAAGCAAAGGAAAAGAGAGCATCAATTCCACCACTAATAGCCATTAAAGGGCTTTGAAGCTTTGAATAAGAATTTGGGTTTTCAAAAACCATTATTTGTTTGGATTGGGAGTTGTTGCAAACAATTGGGAATATGGTCTGGAGTTTATATCTCAATTTTGAGGGTGTTTTTGTGAAGATTGGACTTGATTTTGGCTGAATTTCAGTTTGAAACTCGAATAAGAAGAAGAAGAAGAAAAAGACATGACATACATTATACTTATGAAATTGTAGTAAAACTGTAGAAAAATTGTATTGTGTTGTTTATATAATTTTTTTTATTTAACTATTGTATGAAAGTTGAACAATATTGTATAAAAATTGCATTTAAGTTGTATGATATTGTAGTTGTATATAACTGAGTAGAAATAGTGTATGAAAATTGTAGATAAGTTGTATAATATATAATTAGTTGTATGAAATTTATTTTTACGATGTATAAACCAGATACAAAATATACAAAAGACATATTGTATAAAATTTGTATAAAAATTATATTTACGTGGTATGATATTGTAGTTGTATATAACTGGGTAGAAATAATGTATGAAAGTTGTAGATAAGTTGTATAATATAACATATACAAAAGACATATTGTATAAAAATTGTATTTAAGTGGTATGATATTGTAGTTGTATATAATTGGATAGAAATAACGTATGAAAGTTGTAATTGTATATCGATGTCTGTAATAGCTGAAAGACATTCAAATCTGCTTATCCTCCTTTTCGGTAAATGCAGTTGACAATTCCCTTGTGGGCATGGTCACCTATTTACCCAAAATAAAATTTTCATCGATCATATATCTAATTTAGTTTGTTGGAGTAAATAATTTTTAGTACAAATGATTTGAACGGCAAAAGATTAATTGCAATATTTATGTATGTACACGTTGTTAAAGGGGTTCTGTTCAGGCTCTGTTCAGGTTGTTAAAGGGGTTCTGTTTAGGCTCTGTTCAGGTTGTTAAAGGGTAACTATTACGTGTACGTACTTTAAGATTTAGTTTGCAGGAGTAAATAATTTTTAGTACATTGCAATTAATCTTTTGCACTAAATAATTATTTTATTTGGTCATGTTTAGGTTCTTAACCCCCTCAGCACTCCGTTTACTCGAGATATGGGGAGAAAGAGAGAATCTAGAGAGAATAGGGGAGAGGGTAGAGAGGAGAGGAAAAAGAAAAAGAGTGTAACTGAATCCCTTGATTGAAGGCACAAATAATAGATTGGGAGCCTGTTAAGGTGGATTATATATATTTTGTAAACAAAACTTGTTTATGCCGGGTAATTAACTAAACATGAATATTAAGGGTAATAGAGTTTCAAATAATGTATATGAATGAAAAAGAGGATTTTTACATTCCTATGTCATATAATAAACTATATCACCCTCCATGTTTAACTTTTAATATAATTAACTTTTATATACCTAATTACCATTTATGTACATTTTAGGGATTTTAATGGTATTAATTAGTCTCCTAATTTAACTCTACCATATATTCCCACTCCCCCTACGTTTCTCTCTCCAAATCCCACCCCTTCGCCCACGTATCAAACCACACCACACGATTTCCTCTTCAATCACCCACTATTTCCTCTTCTAAAACTAGCGAAAATCTATAACCCCTCCATTAACGTCTATTCTCAAGTTCTTTCCTCTAAAATCAGTCAAAATTTCTACTATTCTTCAAAGTTCATTCACCCATTAACGACCAGCTTCAAAGATTTTCAATGAAGAAGAACAGAGCTTCAAAGAAACAGCCCTAAAAAAGTTAAAGAAGCAGTTGTTCCTTCTTTCGATTTGGGTGTTTTATCACCACATTCACCGATAAAGCACGAAAAATCTGCTCATGCAAATGAAGAGAAGAAGCATAGGCTTTCCCCTCGTCAATCTAAGGCGGAAGCTAGAACTAAACAAAAACATGATTTTGATGCTGGTGAATCTTCGAGGCAAATCAATTCAGCGAAAAGGAAAGGCAAAGAGATAGATTTTGATGATGATTTTGTAGAAGATGAACCTGTCATTAAACCTACAAAGAAAGTTAAAGTGTCTCCTACTGTAAAAGCTACAAAAAAAAGCTCCTACTGTAAAATCTCCTAAAAATGTTCAACAACATTCATTGGTGAAGGTAAAAATTTAGTAATTTCAACAATAGTTTTTTTGTTTGTTTTAATTCTTAAAAGGCTCCATAATCTGTATTTTTTGTGGTTTGTAGATTATTTGTCTACATTGTGAAGATTAGTTGTAGTTTTCTGAATCTGTTTAAACTTGTGGATATATTATAAAAAATTGTAGTTATATTATATTTGTTTTTAACTGTATTATGTAGTTGTAGATATATTGTATGACAAATGTAGATATGTTATTCTTTAGACTGGAGCAGTGTATTAATAAGAGATTATTTATTTTTTTGTGCATAATGGATATTTTTTTGCACCTCATAATGTTGATTATGGGGTCCTTAGGTTTCAGACATTATCCGACCCTTTGTGAAGGTGAGGTGACTGGCAGATTAGCAAGGAAAAAAGGTGCACCAGTTGTGAACGAGAAAACACAAGTCTGGAGGAAGAAGAATTAGTTGCAATTTTTTTGTATGGAACATGTAGTTAAATTGTTTAGTTGCAGCTAGTTTTGTAGAAAGATAGTAGACAAGTTTATGAACAAGATTGTTGAAGTTTAATTGTAGCAGATTTGTGCTACAATTATTTTACCCTTTGTTTTTTATTTTATCCAGTATACTAGTTCGAATAATGGGGAAACATTCTGTTGTTTTTATATTCACTTGTTGAAAGTAAACAATATTTGATCTAATTATTGTTACTGGTTAACTCCTTTTCAACTTAATTATTATGTA